ACTGGAGACATGAAATAATTTGGCTGTTTAAATGTTTAATTGGTGTTTCAGTCCAACCAAACATAAGTCTCTTAGGTTTATTTGATTAAAAATGACATGTAGGCTTATGTCCCTGAACTTAAGAACACACTGGAGCACACTTATAGTACCAGCTGTTTAATGGCAGATTACAGTGTTATGCATATATTTCTTATGTTTGTGGCATCCCTAATTAGCAGACACATAATTGGATTAAATTGCACCAAACTAAATCCTTAATTCTTTTTCATTCTGCCTTATATACAAAAGGATATAAGTCTGTTTCAAAAGATGTAACTGCCCGCTTACCTCCATTATGACGGCATGGTTGTTTAGCAATACATCTTCTACAGATCGGTGCAGAGTCAAGAGTTTTTTAACGAACTCCCAAAGTCTCTCCTCAAAAAGTCTGAAATGACTTCATCGTGTCCTATGATCATTTCGATCACTAACTGTCGAACTATTGGCTACACTTCCCCCCGACAGTTTCCTGTGGTAAAGTTGATTATGTCTGATTTGTCCATATCTGTAAGCTTTTATGAGATGAAATGATGAATTCAAACCAGGGGCTCCGTCCATTTCCGTATCTAACGTTGAGCAGTAATGAGCCTTTGCAGTACTGCTGCTAATGGTTGAAGCTACTTGTCATGAATTATATCTGATAAAGTGACAATTGGTTCAGAGGCCTTAAAATAAAATATATTTTAGGAAAAGTAGTGCATGAGATCTTTTTGTATTTAAGTTTTATACTTTACTGATGGCTACAGTGCCAGCATTACTGTCCAAATTGATTCTGTTCATTTTGGCAGGTAGCTGTACCCTTTTTATAATTTATAGAGTTGATATATATATATTTGAATATGTTGAGTCCAAAAATATAGAGATGTAAATAAACAAAATAATAGTGCCCCAATGTTGAGCACTGTGGATTAGCTTTTAGTTAACATAGCAAAGCATGTCCATAGTTTTTTCAGCTCTTTATATGTAGAAAACCAAATACCAGGGCAGGGGATTATCACAAAGTCACCATCTATCTCTTATTGTTTTGAAAACATGCACTGGCAAGTTTTACCTCTGACAGGAAATCGCAGGTTGGATCATGTACACCCACCTATTCTGATTGTTTCTGAGCTCGGCTTTCTCCCTATTTATGTCACAGGGATGAATCATGAGTCATTCCTGTGTCATACTGGGATCAGTATAGGTCGCTTTATGATGCGGGGCCCACATGAGTGAAACTCCAGCCCATCCGATACCCTGATGCAAATTTTGCCTGGAGGAAATCCAGTATATGATCAATGGACATAAAATGACTCAATGGAGCTGCCAGAATCAAGACGGCACAGAGTCTATCAGCACACAGATGGAGGTGGAGTTTCTGGATTGATGGGTAGAAAACATGCACAGGAGAATGACTGGTGCTTGGATCAACTTGACAGCCCTCAACTGGATGAGCTGGTTAGAACATGAGAAGACTGATAGATATCAAGATATCAAGTCAACGCAAGTTTGCAAAAATTAAAATTAGCATTTATTTGCATACAAAAGGATGTTTGATTGCTTTTTGACAAAACATGGAACACAAATCTGAATAATGGTAATTATAATGACTTTCACTGAGTAAAATCTACACTATAAAGCTCAAATTGATGTTAAAGAGACAGTTTTAATCTAATGTGCAAGTCTGAGGACGGTCCTGGGGGGGTCTGAGTTAGTGTGGGGGGGTGCTTTTCCAGAACTGCAGTCCCAGTTTGGGATTAAAGCAGATGAAAAAGGTTTATTTTTATATAAAGGTCTTGTCCAGTCACCAGAGTCAAGTTATTTTAATGCAGATTTCAAGGTAATTTGTATTTTCTGCCTCCTCTGTGTCATTTTTTTCTGGATCGGGTACTACGGCTGAGTTAATTGAGTGTCTGATGACTTAACAACTTCAGAGACTTGAGCTGACCTGCACTGTCCTACAGAACAAGACCTTTCAAGACCAATTAAGTAGGAATGCCACAGCGGGCAGTTAAAGGGGCTGGACAGCATTCTAAAGCTCCTGTTAAAACGTGTTCCAAGAAATAAAGCATCAAGTCAAATATAAAAAGAAAAAAGTCAACACCTCATAATTCCCTGATTGTTTTTTGGACAGCTTACTGCAACGCACCTTTGGCATGCTTACATCCATAACAGAAACAGAAGATTAAATGCATTTACAGACAACACTGCATGAACTGGAGAAAGGAGTATGCACGTATCACACATGACGTTGATGCAACAGAAGGGAGTGTTGCATTTCAAACAAAGGCAGAGCGGTGTTTATTGTCCTAAATAATCTGCTCACTGAGCATTTCATCAGAACTCCAACCACAGCTCTTCACATTGCACGTGCTAATTTCTGAACAGCAGGTTTTCTAATATTCAGACAGCAAATAAACAGATAGATAATTACTGTACTTAAGTAATGAGCACTAGTGCTTCTAAAGGAAAAACCTCTGGAGCCCTGCAAGAACTCTATTGACTCACCAGACTCCAATAAGAGATCCACTGGCCTGAATCTACCACCTCCTATATGTCTCTTGACAGAGAGGGTTCAGAGCAAGAACACCTTTCACTGAAAGAGACTTTTTTTCTTCCAGTTGTTTGAGGCAAACACACACTCATGGACGACAGCAATGCAACAAGGAGTGACTAAGCACAAACAGATGATACAGAATGTCCTCTCTGATAATTATATAGAATGCTTTTTACAGTGCTGCATCCAACCAGCTATTTGCCTCCAATTTACACCTAACTGTAAAGCAAGAAGCAATATTACCAGGGACAGGCAGGGTTTAGTCTCCCCACTCTCTTTCATCCCTACTCATTTTGGGGTCACCAAGTGACAGTTGCGTGCATCCACTGACACTTTAAATGAAGCTGCTTTTGCTCGGGGGCTGAATGAGAACGAGAAAGTAAAATGGAGAATGTGAGATGGCGAGACCTGTTGCGTCCAGCTAGGGGGAGGTTGTTTCATTTCAGCCTGACATGGGATAGCAGATTAGAGCTCCCTGCACTCTTATTGCTTTAGCATGCATGTGTGGGAAAGTGTGTTATTGTCCTTGCGCGCGCACACTCCTGCAGCCTTGTTTAATAAGTACGCCTTTTCGCCCTGACCGTCCATCAACTTCCTGGAGCGCCCCGGCAGTGTTCCTGGGCACCAATTATGGTGGAACTTGTCCCTTTCTTTCCTCTGTATTGGAAGTGATGTGGCTTGCCCTACAGGGTCGACACCACCGCTACACCCACATATCTGCAGAGATTCTGCGAGTGCCCAAAGCCCTCCGCAGCAATCCTGGAGAAATGATAATTATGACATCCGCCCACTCTAGAGGCAAGAGATAGTTCAACTCCCTTGCCCCTTGTTCCAACCTTTTTTTTTTTTTTTTTTTTGACTGATTCAATATTCTGCTGGCTAGCGCTGCCTACTCTCTCCGTGTCTTAGAGACGCAGAGGCTCTCCCAGTATATCTGCAGGCTCTCTGTCTGAAAGTAGTGTGCTTGAGTAAAGTTTCACAATGCCTCCTCTCATAAAACTGCACACTGATCACACCAATTTCTTGTGATTGTTTCACACATGACAACAACACCTCTTTCAATGTGTGTGTTTGAATAGGTTTTGGTTTTAGTGCAAAAGCAATTTTTATCTATCACTGCAGCACCTGATTTCCACAACTCGGCCAATTCCTAATATTTACAGTACCTCCATGATTATTAGGATTAAAATAGTTGACCTTTAAAGATGAAGAAAATGGGCAACGCCATTGTAAATTGAAATCATTACATGCAGACATCTTGTTGACGACACATGCGCGGAAAAAGCTGGAACTCAAACAAAGCAGCGAACAACATTCCCCCTCGTGTTCTGCATAATTTGTTAAATTGCTCCACAGGGGCTCAGGCCTCTTTAAAACCCATCAATCAATAATTAATCCCAAGTCATTCAGGCACATTAATGCTTTAAGCTGTATGTACATTTATGGTATGGAACACTTATAGACCAATCCACTAGGGTTACGAAACGTCGATTCATCCAACCAAAAAATTGGGATCCAAACTCAATTATGCAGCCCAACTTAAAAGCTAATTAGACGCTTCTTTCCTCCATTAACTTGTCCTTAAATGGGAATACAACCTCAACCTCACATGATAGAAAGTGCAAACTGATTCAATTAAGCTGCAGTAAATACAATTATATCCGTTTATGTATGTTTAATACTAACAGGGCAGTATACAGAGATTTAAAGGGAGATTAAAGGAGGAATTAATAAAAACAGATCTCCTTTCTGATTGGCTGAATTTCGTTGGAAGTCGTGTTGCTGTCCCTTTTAAAACCCATCTGTGACCACTCACATGCTTTCAAACATATTCATAAGCCATCACTTCGTTTAGTTCTGTCCAAACAGCAGAAGAAGAGGAGCTGTTAGGCAGTGCAATGTTAACAAGCATTTTACGCATAATATTAATATCCAAATAACTCTAGGGAATTGTAATAAAACAGTGTGTAATAAAACAGCCACTATGCAGGCACAGCAGTTCCCATTTCCATACGCCTGCACAGTGCCGTGAGATACTGTAACTGCGTGTGGAAAACAGCCAGGTGTGCTCGAGGTAATGGAGCCCCCTCGGGGAAACTCGCTGGTCCTCTCTCTGTCAAGTCCAGCCACTTTTCTTTTACAGGACTCTGGTATCATCGTGCACATGATAAATACATTCTGACAGCCCCATTGCCACAAACTGCAGGAGAGTTAAATGTAGCTGTCAAATATGGATGGTTTAAACTGCTCCATAACATACTTCAGCTAGTTGGAACCTGCCCCATAATGGACGCCTGGATTCCATACCTCTCCAAAATACAGCTGAGGGCAACCTCCCGTAAATGAACTAATTAAGCACAGTAATGACTTATTATTTTATGAGACACATATTAAATTATTCACCCCGCTTCTCCGTGTGACTTACCGATTAAAACTGATGGAAAAGAAAAAAGGGAAGGCTATTCCAAAATTCCACCGTTCTCAGTCCATCAGGATGCGGGGAAGCGACGCATTGGAGAGTGGGGTGGGGGGGGCAACCTCCACAACACTTTTCTCACCAGTCCACGAACAGGCTGAAACACCCGGGGGAAACTTCACAGTCAGTCCCTGCTTTCCCACTCGCTTTACGCAGCTGTCACACGCGAGCGACTCAATATTCCGTTGCGCACGGGGAGAGGTTTCCACTCCGGTCCCGGGATGATCAGTCTCTCTCTCCTCCCCGCTGCCGAGCCACACTTTAATTTTGACTGAGTTGCAGGTAAAGAAACAGTGTTGTGGTTAAAAAAAAGACGAGGTGGTTATTTCATCTGTATAAAGTCCACTGACAAACAAAAGCGCGCACCGTGTCCTCCTCTGGCGCCGCGCTGCGCGCTCTGTACTTGACCAGTGCGCGGTGTGAAGCTGCTCAGTCATTTACACGCTGTGGAGGTGCACAGCAGAGGGAGGAGGAAGCAATGCCAAGCCAGCAAGAGTGCACAGCAGGAATTCCGGTGATGCCTTTCAGAGTAAAGCATGTTGAGTGCGTAAAAGGACAAGTACTTCAAATGGATTGTGCATGTTTTCCCCTTTTCCTCTTTCTTTTTTGAATTTTGCAAAGTTGAAGGCGTTTGAATCACGAATAAGCAACACATTTACATATTGATTTAATAAAATCAGGACGGAAATCCTCATTTCCGCTGTTTTCTTGTCAATATGTCCTTACTTTTCATACAGTGGGGGAGGCTCTGTGGCTATTGCTCAGAGCTCCTCCTCTTGGAGGTTCTGGAAGTACCAGAAAAAAAACTTGCATTGATGCTCTTTAAATAACCTGGATGCAGCACCAAGCCTGAAGGATGAATATAAATCTATATTTAATAGACATATAGCCTTCTACTAATTCTTCCAAAACATAATGAGAAAATTGGCCCATGAACATTTTAATATTCAGAGGTTGTAACTGATAGAAACATTTTTTTGCCCGAAAGTCCAGTGATTAAGTCTTAATGGGGGATCGGCGCTGTGAAACAAAGCACAACTTCCATCCTGCAGTGAACTGGGAGTTCAAGCTGGTCTATGTCCTTGAGCATGACACTGAAGTGCACCACCAGCTCCAGCCAAGCTGCGGATCAGCATGACCTCTGAACCCCCCCGGGACCGATAAAGTATAATCATAATTATTCTGTCTCGTGCTTCTGTGCGATGACTTTAAAAAGCCAAACAGTTGGATGTAACAAACCACCGGCAATAACCTTGGGCTGAGGGGGGTGTAGTGGCTGATTCGTCTGCGTGTGAACTCTGGTTGAAATTATGTGCAGCAAACTGGTTGATCACTTTCATATGGGCCAGGAATCTCTCCCTCACGTTGTGGTGTTTTTTTTGTCTCTGCCAAGTTTGTCTCAGCATTAGAGTAAAATTGAACTCCCATCTGGAACAGCACGGCGTGGAGTAGCCTATAAGTCTGTGCTTGGCCTCACTGGTGACCCGTTCCAGATACATCTTCTCAGAGGATGCGGTTGAACGATTTACAAAGCAGAGATAAACAAAAAGGTGGAATATGACAACCCTAAAAATACTTAGAGAGAAGTTATTTTCTCAGCCAAACTTTTATTTGAATCATTGTTTGTTTGATAGTTAGCAGGATTACGCCAAAAAGTCCTGGGTGGATTACCATGAAATTTTGTGGAAGAATACAGAATGATCAGGGTTCAAATCCAGGATTTTTTTTCTCTCTCTTTAAGACACAAAACACACAAAACAGAATCAATGTTTAAACAGTGCGTGTCATTTTAATAGCAGTTATATAAGTTGTGTACACTGTGTATTTACAGATATTATGCAAATTAATCAAAATACCTCCCCGAGCTGATATATACTGTATTCTCACATGTTGAAAAAAGACTATTGAGGAGGCCATTAAGCATTACTGTCAGTATGGTGTGGGTTCTTAATCACATGGGCGTGATCTTATAATAAATCAAATATATGAAGATAAGATGCATATCTGCATTGTTCTCTTTTTTGTTTTGCAGACTGGAGCCAGGACCAAACAGCTGTTGATATTGCCGTCATCTTGACAAGGGCACGGTGAGTTTAATTATTTATTTCCTCTTTTTTATTGATCTATTGTTTGATGGCAGGATGAGGTGCTCTTTGTTCGTAATCAAAAGCAAATATTAACATCGCCGTAGTGCAGATGGCTCATGACGCTCAGCTTCATGCGGCTGGATGAAATAAAGGGTCTTTGTTGGGTTTCGGCAGGGGAAGTTGCACAAAAGGTAAAGAAGATAAAGAAGTAGGAACTTGACTCAAATCTATTATTCAAAGCGTTGCTCACAATTCAAGTGTCACCCCCTGTTTTTCATGCCGTATTGCCGCTCAGCTGTGTGAGGTTAAATTCGCTGGAAGGCGACTTTATACATTCTGGGAACACCTAGGTCACGGGTCACAAAATAAGAGAACAGGGGCCCCACAGTAAAAACACAAAACCACTCATATGAGGCTGACAATGTTTGACTGTTTCCGAAACAGTTTGAGATGCTGATTCTACCTGATGGAGTTTGTTGAAGCCGGAGTTTGTTGCAAGCAAATGTCCTGTCAGTGTCTCTCGGGTGGCATTGACGTCCCGCTTGTGACAACTATGTCTCCGCGTTGCATCAGCTCAAGAAGCAACATATTGAAAGCCCAGTAATTCTTCAGCATGTCTATCAACACGGATGCTGAAGCAGAATTAATTTTATTTACGAGCACCATTTTTGATTTTTTGGTTCCTTTAATGTTTGTTTTTCACCGTGGGATTCCCAAGATTTCCCCGCTGCAGTTTCTGAGCCTTAAGATAGCGAGCCAAGTGCACTAGGCTGTAATGCTTGTAAATCTGATTTAACATTTTGTACACTGAACACCATCATTAAAACTAAAAGACAACTGGAAACTGGGGTGTCACTCGCAAAGGAACCATCTGTTGGCATCTGCTCAAACACACCTGTCCTATTTTCATCACAATCATCAAATACCTCACAGCAGAAAAACAAATCTTTGCTGCGTATCCACACTGTCTGCAGCCTCCTCCCAGCGCTCCGTCAGTAATGACTAATCTGCTACCGCTGTGTCCCCTCTATATTTTGAAAAGGACGCAGAAGCTATTGCGTCTATATAAATACATGTCTCCCATGTGTATAATAAAGCAGCTGATATGAGATTTGTGGGTTGGAAATCTGTGGCTGAGCATTGGAAATTATTGTTTAATTTGAGTGTTTGACTTGCAACAACGCTCCTCTAAAGAGGATATTACTTCTGGTAATGTTTACAACAATACTTGTTGGAAGGAATATTCATTGAACTGATATCTATGATTGTATGACATTTGGTGGCTTGATTGATAATTTAAGGAATGGGCTTTGGCAACAGGATGTTTTCATTTGCATTTGCTTGTTGGTTCGCTAGATTACGCAAAAGCTACTGGACGGATTATCACAAAACTGGGTGGAAGGATGTTGTATGGGTCAGGGAAGAAGCCATTTAATTTTGGTGCAGATCCAGACCAGGGGTTGATCCACATTGTGAAGGAGAGTATTTTTTTAATCCCCTGATTTCGTAGGGGATTATTCAATATCTGGTGTCCCAAGTTTCTTATGCATAATTAAAAAACTCAAGTCGCAGCTTTTTCATGCAAATCTTGTATTTTCTGATAATTGAGTCTTCTGAAGAACCTTCATTTCACCAATTTTTACATAATAGTTTGCATAATGGCTCTGTAACAATATGCACAATTATCATCAACATATTCCACAGCTGTTTTTGTCCATCAAGGTCAAATTCTGTGCTGCATTTTTAGGAAAGCAAACTCAAACTGTATACATGTGTCCCTGGCTTTGTTTGGACCCGAAGGCTCACAGATTTTTTGCGACCTATCCAGAGCCATATCCTGTCTGCTGCTACTTTTAGTACCTCTGATGTCACTATCAGTCATCCTCATGCAAGCAGCGCGGTGCCCAAGAATCCAAAAGAGTAAAAAAACCCTGCAGCGTGACGAGATTCAAAAGACAGGGCCAACTTTTGCTTCTCTGTGACGAGAATCCCTTCCCCAAATAACGGAAGATCCTTCTTGAATCTGTGTGTTTTCTTTCTTTGGCCTAAAGGAGCTTGGCCCACCCACAGTCCTGCACTGCACAGTTTGTGTGCTGCAGCCTGAGATGTCTCACATGCTCTGCATCAGGGATCCTTATGAAAAAACAGTCTCGCCAGGACCCAAACTGGGTAATATTAGTCTCTCTCTTCGCTATTTCTCCTGTCACAAGAAGACCCATCAGAAAAGAAACAAGCCTTCCAAGCCAAACTTCAGAATCCCATTGAGTCCTTAACGCTGTTTACCTTGAGCTATCTGTCGTGAAGAAGTGGTTAGTAAAAGTCCACAGACTGATACTGTGTGGGATTAAGGTCACTAAAAGCTGAAAGCTGCTGGAGCTCAAGAGATCCCTATTAAAATATCAGTAAGTTTCCTCATTTAATACGATGCTGTTATTTCTACACTTCTGCATCAATGAAAACACTTCACATTTTTTTCATGGCTGCACCATTCAATCAAAACTGAATAACAACACATTGTTAGTTCTGAGCAGCATTTGTATACAAGTCCCCCAAAATCCAACTTGACACTCTTGAGCAGAGTTTGCTTTTCCTCTGTCTCTGCTTGTGTTTTTTTCCGATTTCTTCCTCCCACAGTCCAAAGCCATAAAGCTTTGGTAAATTGAGGACTTCTAAATTGCCCATAGGTGTGAGTGTGAACTGCTGTTTTGTCTCCATGGCTACATCCACACTACTTCTCATCACCGTTCTTATGTTCACGCCTTCCAACCACATTACTCAGAGAAGTTTAGAAATGCTGCTGGTCCCGTTTTAGTTTGAAAAATAAAGGGTGGGAAAAACATTGGTAAATGATGACACAGTCACTTGCATTTGCTTCTGACATGAATGGACGAGGATCACTATAGCGATAAGGAGCTAGAACGCCTGTGTGGACGACCAGATGCATCGCGAACGTTACTCTCTGAATCAGATGCTTTGTAGGCATTTATATTTATAGTAATGGTATATATTGTTAAATAATTTTCAGTGACTGAGTTGTAGCAGTGGGGTTGTGAAGTGATCTGGGTGGTTCAATCACTTTAATAAGGACCCTCTTGATACTTGTCTGTTATCATGAAGAACCAAATCACCCAGAGGACACATGGATGGGTTTCTGTCTTCGCTCTTATCACCTGTTCTTTAAAACCACGTTCCAAAAAGCTTCCTTTTCATGGTTCTCCACCTGTAGCGACTCCTGAACTTTCCCATGACATAACCCAGGCCATGTGATCAGACTTGTTGGATATGGAATGTGAGACAGACGCCGAGGAAGTGGCTGAAACACACCGTCTCCCTTTAACTGTAAACATCTCAGATGGCATTTAGATTCAGTGTGTACTTTAATGGCTGTCAGTGCAAATGAAAAGCCTGAGGAAGCTAAAGCAAACACACATGCTGCTCAGTTGATATTTGCACGAGCTAACTGTTAAAGCCAGCTGATGACAGCCCCTTCATCAAGTCGGGTGAGCAGCGTCTGCCAGCACAGTAACTTGCAGCTTCCTCCATCTCGAGTCCCAAACCCTGCCTTTTTGACAAACACGCATCAGGCGAGATGAGAGGAGCATGCTAATTACCTACGCTGACTCAGGTCCAGGCTCGCAGGATATTTGATCGCTACGCTGCGGCTGTCCAACCTGTCCTTGTGGTGTTGTGCAGTGAGGAAGGAGCATGTTTATATCCACAGCCAAATGCAGAGTACAGAGATCTGTGCCCTTCAAAGCACCGTAGCATCTTCATAGCTCAAGGCTTCATCAGCCAAAATGTTTTTATTCAAGGCGATATGGAAGAACGAGGTTTGGGTGTTATTAAAGTGAATCAGTTTCATATAAAACATAACAGAGAATGAATATCCTAGTCTATAATTTTGGCAGGAAACAGACCTCAAGCTCCAACACGTTTTCTCCCTTACCTTAAGTGACAGTGGTTTGTTTTCTACCTCGTTGCTCTCCCTGTTGTAAGCAATGATTTATCGGTTTGTAATTACTTCCCTCAAAACAAATGGTTGTTTGTTTGAGTTACCACCAGCAAAAACAACAAAAAATCCTCTTTTAAATCTTTGTTAAAGCCACAATTTGTATACGTCTTAGTCTACCTTCAGCTTTTCTACTTCTATGTATTCATTTACTTTCCATCCAGCTCTGATTAGTGTGACTATTTAAATAGTTTTATAACATTTTGTATTTACTCTTTTCTCATGGGTAACATGCAATTATGCTGCATGCTCTTAAAATTGCTTATGTTGCACATTTGAAACCAAAGTCTGAGCAGTAGCGATCAGGGGACGGAGCCACGGTGCTGAGGTCGCGTCGATACCCAAAGTTAGCGTGGTTTTTATAAGAATGACCTAAAATGATAGACGCCATCTTTGAGAAAACTCTATTTGACGTGTATTTTGACTTTTTGGAAGTTGTCATGTCGTCCATCTTTTTACACATAGTCTATGGCGCTGAACTGCTTTGAGGGCAACAGTACAACTCGCTTTAATTTCACCTCCTTCCTTCACCCTTATGCCAAAAGGTCCCTGCTGGCTGAAGGAACCCGTACAGCGCAGCTGACATTTTATTCTGGCGGGGCTTTGGTATTTCTCAGGAGTTTCTGCTGGTGCTTTGTTTTCAATTCCACTTTAACACCGTTATTGCGACAAAGAGGGCAAAGGTGAAGGCACGGCAGCCAGATGCAAAAGGCACGGCAGGCAGGTTGTCTGATTTGATCCCCACCCACCCACTCCCTCTCCCCTCAGGGCGACACACTTCAACAGTATGACAGAGTGTAAGGAAACAGGTGCCAATGGCTGCCCGGGCAAGTGCCGAGATCTGACATGAAAGGACAGAAAAGCATAAAAGTGCTGCATTATTTCCTACTGGCAGCAGACAAGAAGAAAAGCTTCAGCCTTAAACAACAAATAACTAAAAACCAACAATGATTCAGCTCAATTTGATCCACTGCGAAAAAATGAGACGTGC